AATAACAAAGGTTTCATTCAATTTTAAACGAATAAACTTAATGGGCAGATATTATTAAAATAATAATTCGAGTTAAACATTATCTATTATAATTATTTTATAATTAATTTAATTTAATTAATTATTAGCGTTTGAATATTATTATTTATATTTCATTATCTTTCTTTAATTACGCAAATGCTAATAATCGTTGTTTAGTATTATTTTTTTTTTTTTTTGTTGGTCCAAGGAACTTATATTCATCTTCTAAATTGATTTGATTTAAAATTAGGTTCATTTTCAAATTAAGAATTTTTTTTTTATCTAGTTTCAATTTTCTAATTTATTTTTGTTTGAATCAAATTAAATATTTTATCAAGGTTTTTCAAAAATATATGTATATATATATAAGATAGAAAAAATCTACAACAAAATATGAATCATAATTACTATTTCCTTTCATTTTATTAATTTAGATATTAACATTCTTTTAATTTATAAATTTTTTATACAAATTTAAATAAATAAAAATATTTTTAAATTTTCATACTTTTAACTCATGAAATTTTCCACTAATTAAATATAAACCGATTTATTTAAATACTAAGGCATACACAATATCATTTGGCCAACTTAAATAACATATAAATTGACTTAAAGAAAAATAATTATAACATCCTCCTGAATAATTAGTAACAATAGTCACAATCTAATATTATATATAATTGTTTTGTTAAGATGTATACAGAAAAATATTTTTTTTACTCATGGTTAGATTTATGACATTTTCTACGACATAGTGTCTCTATATTGTTAATTATAAAAATAAATAACAATTAGAAAACCAAGTAATACTATAAAATATATAATTTTAACCAAGTAATACTACAAAAATATATAATTTTGAAAAAATATTCCCTAAAATTTTTAAAAAATTGAAGGCTTACGCGGTGCAAAGAAGGAATAATCCGACACGTCAAGGTTGCGGAATGGGCACGAGCATCTTTATCCTTCGCCGCTTTCCACCACCACATATTATCATTTACTCCCAATAAAATAAATATTTTTAAGCCATTATTACACATTTTTATAATAAATAGATTTTTACTGAAATTTTTAAAAATTAAATAACTAAATAACTTCTCCAATTTCGTTAAATGACACGTTTCCAATTACTAATCAAATATCCAAATAATTAAATTTTTTAAGCATCACACTTATTTACGATAAATCTATATTTTTTCGTGTTTTTTTTATTAACTTATTGGATAATATTTGCTTATGTATCTTTTATTAAATTATTTGATCCTATCCAATCAGCATTATTTGATTCTATCTTTTTATTAAATTACTTTAATATTAAAGATTATATTTATCATTTAATAAATTTATTGGTATTTATAAATTTTTTTTATTAATTATAAAAATTTGTATCTCAATTAAAAGTATAGGAATTAAACATAAAGTCTAGGGTGAAATAACAATGTTTTTGTTGGAATTATATCCAGACCGCAAGGACCTGGAACTGGGCCTGGGTGTGAATCTATGATAATTGGTAGTAAGTTATTATTATTATTATCGATTATTGTTTAATTCAAGTTTAAAATAATTTTCAACCTAAAGGGTTGAAAGGTGAGGAAATTAAGAAAATGACAATGATAAATTTAAACTTTAGGATGTCCCACGTAAACTTATATTTTATAGTATGAAAGTGCATTTTATTCTTGTTTTTTAATCGAGCAGAGATGATATTTCTAACAAAGTTAGCCTCCATTTTTGAAATATATGCACGACCTTTCCTTACCAAATAATTTTTATATTCACCCATAATTCCATGAAACGTGTTTAGTTAACTTCAAAATATTCAATTTGATGTTTTCAAACAATAAAAAAAATATGTACACCAAATATTATATCTTGTTTTATTAAAAATACTTTTAAAAAAATGTTAAGATTACTAAATTTTAAGTTTTTAGAAAGTGTTTAGTTTATTTTAATTTTATATAAAATTAACTAATTTATTAATATATAAAATTAAATTTTATGGTCTAATATGACTTCAACTCTCATAAAAATAATCCTAATTCAATTTAATGTTTTAGTAGGTATGTTTACGGGTTTAAAGTTGACTAAATAAGAAGTTGGAAATTTAATAATATTTTTTATTGACTCTTTTTTTTCATTACTTAACAATAATTTGAAAACGTGGTAAACAAAAACAAATAAATTCAAACCTATCATTATCTTTCAAATGTATTTTCATAACCATCATTTGATCAAACATAAATAAGGCTATTATTTATTATAAGACAATATGAGTCATATTAAAAGTCCAAACTTAACTCGAAAACATCCTAATTAAACTGCATTTGATTATGACTACAGATAATTACGTGATAATACCTCTCAAACCCAAATACGTAATTAATGTTTATATTTCTTTTTTTAAATTTCACTCCCAATCTTTTAAATTTTTTATTTAACATCCAAATTTTATAACTTTTTTAACTTATATATATATATTTTGAAGTTTAACTAAAATTTAAATAATTTATTAAAAATTTGAAAATCATAGTAAACAATGTAATCGACATGTCCAATTAAAAAAAAAAAAACTTTATTAGCCTAAAACAACTCTTTATTTAATTCTTTATTATTATTATTATTATTATTATTTTTGAAAAAGAGGAGTTTCGAATCTCCTCCCACCTTCATTTTAAAAAGAGTTTTAATTTCAAAATAATAATTTAATGCTTTTAACAAATAAAATTAAACAAAAAATTGGACAGTTGAATTGCAATGATAAGAGAAATAACCATCAAAATTTAAGAGGGTAATTGATGAGTTTATTAATTAAAAGAAATAAATTCAGTGAAAATGGCATGTAATAACTGGGCAGGATGGAATCTAATAATTGGGTAGGGTAATTCGTAAGTCAATTATTAAACATAATTCCCAAAAAAATGTTAGTGGGGTGACAATTTTTCGATAGATTCCTACTTGAATGCGGCGACCAGACGCAGAATTTATTATTATTATATTATATTATTATTTAACTTGACGGTTTACAGCTGGAAAGTAAATTCTAAATTATCTCAACATAAATAATTACCCCGTCTTTCGTACGGTAACTCCGGAACTGAACTTCCATTTAAATCCCATTTTTTTCAATTTGGAGACACCAATATCAAACATTTTCTTTTCCAAAATTTTCTCATACGTGTGGGGTCCACGTCCATCGGCAGAATTCAATCCTCTACATGAAGGACCACTAAACTAGTGTAAACTTGATCGGTGGTGTCAGCTCAATCTTCTTCGTATGCATCTTTTCACAAACATACATTTTTTTCAATACTAAAAATAAATATTTAATTTGCTGGAATACTTTTTTAAGGCAAGCTATTTTAATTAGGCGAAATGGTATTTTTTTTATTTTTTAAATTATAAAATAAAAATATAATAAATTTAACTCATTTAAATATAATATATATATATATATATATATATTTTTTTTTTTGTTTAAACAAAGGCATATTTAAAGGACATAGAAAACGAATAAAGACAATATATTAAATACAATTTAGATAACTTCTGTCTAAATTCAGTTTACAAGTTGACTCTTCAACTTAACTAAGGTGACACATATATGTATATATATATTTATTTATAACCTAAATCTTTGTATTATTGAAGATATATTTATAAGATCAATATTCTTAAAATTTAAAATTTATTTAACATCTCTCAATTTATAAAGGCTATAAAAACTCTATTAAAAATAATTTAATTTTCTTATTTTAAAATTTTTAAAATTAAACTTAAATTACCCTTTCTCTATTTTATTGAATTCATCTTGAAAACATTTAATTTTTTATTCAAATAAAAAAAAAAAAACTATGAAAAATCCTATATCATTTAAATAGACATGAAAGCTTAATATCTTTTAGATGCAAAATTTAATTTTATATCTTATAGATTTATTAATTTTAGGAAGATTTGAATACGTCATAATTATTTAACCTAACATAAATCTCTACTGGATTCAATTAGTTCAAATAAAAAGAAAAAGGGAGAAAAAAAAAAGGATATAGTTTTTAAAACATAAATAGAAAACAACATAAATATGAGAACATTAAAAAAGAAAAAGAAAATGTTTGGTTCAAACAATTTTTAATACCACTCATCATTTTATTATTTAACTTCAATATTCTTTTTAGTATAACAATATTATCGATGTTTTCAAATAGAAATTTAGTGAAAGTAATTTATTATTATTTTTCGTTATAGAAAAAAAAGGTAAAATCTAAAGAATAAATGTATGTAGGCCAAAGTTGAATGGGGAAGCGATATAGAAGAACTTCTCGCAATTCATTAATAGCCGCTGGATGCAAGAGACCGGCATGGTATTAGATTCCACTGGATTTCCTCTTTTACCCTTTAGCTTCTCGTTTTATGCGCCATTACAATTTCTCTTACGAAAATTCGGAGATAGAATCTAACCATGGTTACTTATCCCCATCAACTCTGGTTAGCTACGGCTCCTCCTGAACCCTTTAAAAGCCGGCCATATGAACATCCTTCGTCACATTCATTCCGTGTTCTTCGTTTTTTCTCTTCGTTCTATCCACTTTGATGGTCGAACCCATCGATTTCTAGTTTCTTCTTCCCTTGTCTCCTGCTCCATCCTTCATTCATTCCTTCTCTGCAGTTCCCAGCCTCTGGTTCATCTCCCTTTCTCTCTTTATCTCTTAATTTGGTTTTTGTTAAGCTCGGTTGCTCGATCATGGCGCCAAAGAGCTTCCGCTTTCGACATTGAAACCATGCAAAATGAACAAATGATTTACTTCAACTTCAAAGATGGATGATCATAAGATTTATTTTATTTCATTCTATAATCACTAAAATATAAGAATAAACGATAATGATTTTGAAATCTGTGGATTTGGCGATTGTTTTTCTGCTTTTGTATGGTTGAGAGAAGTTTTATTTGATCAGGTTGAATAGATATGGCGGCAAACGGAAACGCAGAGTTCAGTTTTGCAAACAATGGATCGGCGAGAAACGGTCTGTCGAGAATTCAGACTGAGAAGAAACAGAATGGGATCTGTCATGATGACAGTGCTCCACCTGTGAAGGCGAAGACCATTGACGAGTTACACTCGTTGCAGAGGAAGAAATCGGCCCCTACCACTCCCATTAAGGGCACTGAAGGAGCTTTCGCTGCCATTTCTGAAGAGGAGCGTCAGAAGCAGCAGCTTCAGTCCATCAGGTTCAATTACTTTCTCGTATTCCACTGACACGCTCGCAACGACCAATCATACCTCGCCTTCTATTTTTAAAGCTTCTCCGAAAACGACGCTTAATTAATACCTATTTTGGATTTGATAATTGTTTATGCGTAATAGTGTTGGGTATATAAGATTCGTTTCTTAAAGCTGACCCGATCGAGGACGGTTTAATTTGAACAGTGCTTCATTGGCATCATTGACGAGAGAAACCGGGCCAAAATTGGTGAAAGGAGATCCGGCGAGGAAATCAGAAACTCCCAAAGCCCATGCGGTGCACCACCACTACCACGCGCCGACAATTAGCGTTAGCGACAGCTCCTTGAAGTTCACCCATATCCTTTACAATCTTTCCCCTGCAGGTTCGTTCTCTTTTTGTCTGTTTCTCATTCGCTTTCAAATTCCATTCTATTTCAGGGCAGATCAGATGGTATCGTCTTCTTCAAGGGCCATCCACTTATCTGCCTGCCCATGTTTTATGGGCCCATTTTGGAATCTAGAATTTGTGCCTAAGACGTTCTTTTTGCCCCCATTTTTTTTCGGTTGAATTATAAATTTGGTCGTCATAATTCCAACGTCTAGGATTAAATTATAAATTTATCAAAATTATATAACGTCAAATATGAATTGGACCCCAGGAACAAAAGGGGAGTTTGATATCTTAGCGCTTTACTGTTTGCAGAGCTTTACGAGCAGGCGATAAAGTATGAGAAAGGATCATTCATCTCGTCGACCGGTGCATTGGCGACTCTTTCCGGTGCGAAAACTGGCCGATCTCCGAGAGATAAAAGAGTTGTCAGAGATGAAACCACCGAGGACGATCTTTGGTGGGGAAAGTGAGTGTTGATCTACCCTTCTTCTACTTGGGTTTCTTTTCCTTTTAACGTTCTTTTGATATGAACGGTTTTATTTGCTTTCAGGGGCTCACCAAACATCGAAATGGACGAGCATACTTTCATGGTTAACAGAGAAAGGGCTGTTGATTACCTCAACTCATTGGACAAGGTTACTTTTTATATCAGTATCTAGATATTTGTTGGCGTTCTTTTTCTTTGATGAATAGTTCCTTGAAGCCCTAAAGTCAAAATTGATATTGAAGTCCTTGATGAGCTATTTATTATGACTACGTTCATTTGTTCGTCCTGCCCTTTTGAATGTTGGTTGTTGTGATTTGCAGGTGTTTGTGAATGATCAGTTCTTGAATTGGGACCCAGAGAACAGGATCAAAGTTCGCATCGTCTCTGCAAGAGCTTACCATTCACTGTTTATGCACAACATGTAAGTGAAATTTACTAAACACCTAAGTTTTTCAGCAGTATATGTTTCTCTTGTCCCTTCCACAAAGGTCCTAAGCCTTGCCAGATAAGTCTCCTTAACGTTCATATGTTACATTATCGCGGGGATAAATAAAAAACGGTATATAAAAAAAAAATGTACAATGGTGTATTAGCTTAGTGTGCATTTCGATAACTGGGTCGGTGACAGGTGTATCCGACCCTCTCCTGAAGAGCTGGAGAATTTCGGTACTCCGGACTTCACTATTTACAATGCTGGGCAATTCCCGTGTAATCGTTACACTCACTACATGACATCCTCTACTAGCATAGATATTAACCTTTCTAGGAGGGAAATGGTCATCCTCGGCACTCAATACGCCGGGGAAATGAAGAAAGGTCTATTCAGTGTTATGCATTATCTCATGCCTAAGCGTCAAATCCTCTCCTTACATTCTGGCTGCAATATGGGAAAAGATGGAGATGTTGCTCTCTTCTTTGGACTTTCAGGTATAGTATTATTGGAGCCAGATGAGAATGGCTCTGATATCCGACATAACGATATGTGCCCTCTTACCCTATCCATCCTTAGCATATTATTTGTTTGCTTTTGATCCTAAGGGTTAACTGCATTGCACCATTTGCTTTCTGGTTGTCATTTTGAGGTCCTCAGTACTTGTTGATCTTATTTTAGGTACTGGAAAAACGACGTTGTCCACAGACCATAATAGGTATCTGATTGGCGATGATGAACATTGTTGGAGTGCTAATGGTGTGTCAAATATTGAAGGAGGTTGCTATGCCAAGTGCATTGATCTCTCTAGAGAAAAAGAGCCCGACATTTGGAATGCCATCAAATTTGGAACCGGTAAAGGTTTTTATCATCCTGTTTTTGTTTGATGTAGCATAACTATGTATGCTGATTACATCGTGATGGGATTTACTAACGCCATGGGTTGCTGCAGTGCTTGAAAACGTGGTGTTTGACGAGCATACCCGAGAAGTTGATTATACCGACAAATCAGTTACAGGTATATAAACACTTCAATATGTTTTATGAGAATTTTCAATTGTTCTTATATATATATATATATATAGCCAAAGCACACTATAAATTTGAAAAACATCAGAGATATGTTAAATTCTCACCCATGTATTGGGTTCTTCCTCATGTGTTTGGTTATCCTGTTACAGAGAACACAAGGGCAGCTTACCCCATTGAATACATTCCAAATGTGAAAATGCCATGTGTTGGCCCGCACCCGAAGAATGTGATCCTATTGGCCTGTGATGCATTCGGGGTGCTTCCACCGGTGAGCAAGCTGAGCCTGGCACAGACCATGTATCATTTCATCAGTGGTTACACTGCTCTGGTAAATATACACTCCAAACTTCCTTGAAAAAAAGAGGCAGTCAATGTGTAGAATGGAAACATTAAGCTAAACAACTGGTTGGATTGTATGCGTTCGTGAATAGGTGGCAGGCACCGAAGATGGCATCAAAGAGCCACAGGCAACATTCTCAGCTTGTTTTGGTGCCGCTTTTATAATGTTACATCCAACAAAGTATGCAGCCATGCTAGCCGAGAAGATGCAGAAGCATGGTGCAACTGGATGGCTCGTCAACACTGGTTGGTCAGGTGGAAGGTATGCATCAATATTTGACACATTAAAAACGTTCTCTAAAGAATAAACTTATACATATTATTGATCCAATAGGTATGGCCAAGGGAACCGCATTAAGCTACCATACACTCGGAAGATCATCGACGCCATTCACTCTGGCCAACTTCTGAATGCAACGTATAAGAAAACTGAAGTGTTCGGGCTCGAAATTCCCACCGAGATTGATGGAGTGCCTTCAGAAATCTTGGATCCAATCAACACTGTAAGTTAGCATTCTCTTCCAAAACATATTAAAGAATCGATTTCAATTTGTCAACGTTTATGAGGAACGATGCAGTGGTCCGACAAGAAGGCGTATAAGGATACTTTGCTTCAGCTGGGTGGCTTGTTTAAGAAGAACTTCGAGACATTTACCAACTACAAGATTGGTAAGGACAGCAAGCTGACAGATGAGATTCTCGCAGCTGGGCCAAATTTCTGAAGCATCAGAGAAGGAATCTCTGCTGAAGGCTTTGGTGTGATGCTTCTGAAAAAAGTGCTTTAGGTTAAAATGTTTGTACTTGGGCGATGTATATCTCTGCTCTATATTTTCGTTATAGCGTTTGTTCTCACCCCACAGAGAGAATTATCTCATCCTGTTCTAGCTTAGTATTTGAGTTTATTATATATTATAAGTTTATAGTTCACTTTAGAATAAGATTCCGATACTTGTCTATGTATTTAGATGGGTATATGAAATTTAGCATCAAAGTTTTGATTTTATCAAATTAACCTAGAAATTAATATTCATTGACTAGGTGTTGACGTTTTAGTGCTTTGTTATTTTTGTGGTTGAGTTTTGAGTACTTTCAATCGGTTAGGTTTTGAAAAAAAATATTAATTATAGTACAACAGCTCTCATCCTCATCGTTTGTTTTACTCATTCTAATATGAGAACACATTTTGGGGGCTGGATGTAACTAGTTGGATGCTAATTTTTCAAAATATATATTGAAATTTGGGTAGAAAAGGTTAATTAAAAGTTTGAAAATAAGCCATAGATGTTTTATTTTTATTAAAAATAAAAAATTGAATAAATAATAATATCAACAACTAAATCATTTTAAAAAAATGAATCCATTATTTAATAAGCGCTATCAACTCAAACAATTAATTCAGATCCAAAAATACTCGAGCCAACATCATGGGTACTCCTACATCTCCGACTATGACTCGATAATTCATCATTTTTTTTGGTTTCGCTTCCGTCTCTAAAAAACATCCAAATGACTTATGTTCACATAAGGATGTTAATGAAATTTTTGAAAGTTAATGAGTATCTTTGAAATGTGTTACTGTATAAAACGATTTGAAATGTGTTACCGTATAAAACGATAAAAGTTATTTGAACTTAATATTTTTCAAATTTTAAAAAGGGTAGAGATGCTAATAAAAGTTTGAAAATTATATTTTTAGAAATAAAATAAAATGATTTTGAAGGTAATAAAAAAATGATTCTTACTCAAAAGAAAAGGTATTTTTGGTAATATTTTAAGAATATTTTTTTTTATAGATAAAATATAAAATTTATGGGTATTTTATTAATTTAACGTATGAAACAATTTAAAAAGAAGTTATAAGGAATAAGAAAAAAGGAATAAAACAAGAACTTCGTACAATGTGTAAGAAGTCACAATCACGAGGAATTAGAAAGGCCGGCCCAATGCGAATCATCGAATTCAAATGGCAACATTGTAATATAATTAAAAAAACGAGGTGAAAATGCGATCAGTCCATCAAGTCAAAACAGAAAAACCAGACAGTCACTTCTGTTCAAAGTTCGTATCGGACTTGAACTTCGTCTTCTTATTTTCATACTGTAGCTCTGGAAGACCAAATCTATATTACCTAACTCTCGTTCTCTCCGTTTCTTCGTCCTCGAATTCTCCTCACTTCTACAATTCTCTTCCACGGACGTTGTTACTCTGCTGACTTGTTCTTCGATTGTTCTCGCCGATCGCCGTCTGATGGGTTCTATCTCGCACTCAATTGGTCCCAAACTCGGTTTCCATCACCAGGTATCGCACTGTTCCCCTGGACTGTTTGGTTTGAGTCGTGGTAAATTTTTGAGCCTGAGTTCGAGGAAGCATTTTGGGAGAATCCACGCCTCCATTGATGTTAAGGATGGACGCAAGATCGAAGTGATTGATTTTAGTGATCCTGATTGGAAATTGAAGTATCAGGCGGACTTTGAAAAACGCTTTAATCTCCCGCACATTACCGACGTTTTCGGAGACGCTGTTCCTATTCCTTCTACTTTTTGTCTTAGGATGAGGTGTTCTTTTCTTTTTCTTTCCCCTCTTTTCGGGTTAGGTTGCGTTTTTGCCTTTTTTGGATTGTGGACTGATTTGGCTTTGAATGTCGATGTTTTAATTGTATGTATGGATTGGAATTGCAGGTCACCTGTTTCGGACGTCTTTCCTGGAGTTTATCCGTCAGATGAAGAGTGGCACGGATACATAAATAACAACGATCGCGTACTTCTCAAGGTATATTCATTGTCCCTGTCACTCTGGAGACGCCGGCTTCATCTACTACTTTTAAGAGCGTATTTAAGGCTTTTTCATAATTCTCTAACCATTCCCCTTTTCTTTTTCCTTTTTTTTTTCTTTAGTTTCAGCCCTATTCTTCCCGATCATTAATTATGTTATGAATAGTAACGAAGCTTAAGCTGTTGGCATGGTTTTGTAAGATATTTTAGACCTTGTTCTTTAGGTCTGTTTTTACTTTATAATTTGGCTGACTTGAAAGTTCTCGCCAAAGTTATGATGGTGTGCAGTTGTATTATTCTTTTTGAGAAGTTTAGTTAATGTACTCTGAAGTTTGGTTTTATTGTCGAATGCTCAGGTCATAAATTACTCATCACCTACGTCTGCCGGTGCTGAGTGCATTGACCCCAATTGTACATGGGTAGAACAATGGTAAGTCACTTCAATTTATTGGTATTAGCAATTGTAGGGCATGCCGTCATTTGGTAGAATTGAGCTGAAAGTTTTAATACTGACTTTCTTTTTCATAACTGTTCATTGTTAGTTTTTAGAACCTTATATGTAAATAAATGTTTGAAATTCAATTATTATTGAAAAGAGAGAGGGTGAACTGAAACTGTGGCTAAATAAGAAGGGGAATTACTTGGTTAGTAGGGACACTTAATTTAAGAAAAAAGGAAAGAAAGCAGGGAGTGCTTAGACACTATGTGTTGTTTAGCCTGACGAGGGGAAAATAGGGCTTCACAAATTTGAAAAATAATATCTCGCATGTATACTTTTTTCAATTAACTCATGCTTTTAGTTCCTTGATTACGTCCATGCACAATTGAAAATTTTTTACATACAGGGTTCATCGTGCTGGGCCTCGAGAGAAAATATACTTTAAACCAGAAGAAGTGAAAGCAGCAATTGTGACTTGTGGAGGACTCTGTCCTGGTCTTAATGATGTTATCAGACAGGTTAATTTTTTTTTTATACTCTTATTCATCTTATCAGACAGATTATTTTCGTTTTTATTATTGTTTTACTTTTAACTTTAATTGTATAATTCTTTTGGTGAAATTATGATATTAAGTAGGTTTCGAACTTAGAAGTTATTCCTTTATTTCTCAAGGATATGCATTCTTTAGATTTTATATATTTTAGCTTGTTACAGGAGCGGTTTTCAGCATTTCTTCATATGTTCTCAAAGAATATTCATTCTTCTACAGATTGTAATCACACTCGAAATTTATGGTGTGAAGAAGATAGTTGGGATTCCCTTTGGATATCGTGGATTCTCTGACAAAGAACTGACTGAAATGCCTGTAAGTTATTTTCTGCATGCACAGAATTATAATCTCTATAGAACCCCTTGTCTCATAACAGTACTACTTCCCTCATGACAACATGGTTGAAAAAGTTGCCTAAGCTGATGCTGTTTAATTGACTTTATGATGGTGTTCATTCCTAGCTATCCAGAAAAGTGGTTCAGAACATTCATCTTTCTGGTGGGAGTTTGTTAGGAGTCTCACGTGGAGGTCCTGGGATTGGCGAAATTGTGGACAACTTGCAGGTCTCGAACAGATTGTCTTAGTTTGATAATGTAGACTTTTTATTGGGAGTTGACTATTTGAAAATGATCGAGGCATGTATTGACTGTGTTGTAGGAAAGGGGAATTGATATGCTTTTTGTTTTGGGTGGAAACGGCACTCATGCCGGGGCCAATGCTATACACAATGAGGTATGCCATAAACTTTCTCTAACCTGACAATTTTATATATTAGTTGCTACTTGCTACTTGCTACTGACGTGTGGTGCACACATTTGTGAATTTTATTAATATTATCTTCTTTTCAAGGTTTATTGTAAAGTTTAATGATCTATGTTTTGCATTAGACATTATGCTAAACAGTTCATTGGTAAATTGAGCTTACCACTCAAATTTGCAATGAACGCTATAGGTTTTGTATAGATGTTACAAAACCAATTCCAAACATGCATGAATTTTATTAGAATTACTTGAATCTTTCTTCAGCCTTCACTCCACTTTTGTAAACTGTGGGTTTGCAATTAGCAAGAGTTTGATGCTTTTTACTATTATATAAATTTCTTTTACTCAGTCTTCAATTATTATAAGACAACTCAGCTTTTCATTATAGAATAAAAATACACCATTTCTGACTCTGTTAAATATTTCATGTTTTTTGGTTTAGTGTCGGAAAAGACGGTTAAAGGTGGCAGTGGTCGGTGTTCCAAAAACTATAGACAATGATATTTTATTGATGGATAAAACATTTGGTTTCGATACTGCTGTTGAAGAAGCACAAAGAGCAATAAACTCTGCCTACATTGAGGTAACGCCCATTGCTTTCTATTGTTGTATCCTTATTGCTGTGTTCATGTGCGTGTTGGTCTTTCCTTGAATTCTTTCTCTTTTCATAGTATTATAGAGCTATTTTCCTTCCTCATTCGGGAAGTTGTCATACGATGATCAATGGCATAATGTTAATAATTTGGTATAGGCACACAGTGCTTATCACGGAGTTGGCATTGTGAAATTGATGGGTCGCAGCAGTGGATTTATAGCAATGCATGCAGCACTTGCCAGTGGGCAGATTGATGTATGCTTGGTCCCTGAGGTATGTGTCAAATATGAGTTTGACGTTTAATTTCTATTTTTTTGATGCTGCACTGATATCATCGTATGGTACTTAGGTTCCTTTCCATCTCCATGGGCCCCATGGAGTTCTACGCCATCTGAAATATCTGATAGAGACAAAGGGATCTGCTGTGGTCTGCGTGGCTGAGGGAGCAGGGCAGGTAAGTTGGTGTTGCTATTTTTATCCTTCATAGATCAAAACTTCATGGACTGCATAAACTTTATGAATATTATAATTACATTTTGACTCTTTTTTATCTGAAATTATTAGAATTGAATACTGATTCTCGGCTTTAACTGCAGAATTTGCTACAAAAGACAAATGCTACCGATGCATCTGGGAACATTGTACTGAGTGATATTGGCGTATATATTCAACAAGAGGTTTGTAAATTTACTTCCATTGAGATTAATCATCGTGCTATTTTGAGAGAATCTAAGATGTGCTTCTTACGTTAGTACATAATACTTGCGAGCAGTACGGCATTTTTGGCTTTAATTATTTTTTTTGAAGAAATGAATAATCTTTCTCCCATAGAGAAAATATAGAAAAAGGGGAGATATCCCAACAACGGCCAAAAGGTTACAAAAAAAAGATCCCCAATTAGCTGAAAATTGAAATATGCACAAGATCGTAATTACAAAAGGATTTAGAGAGAGAACACCTGATGGATGCAAAGAGTTCAATAGAATTCCTAGTTTCGTGCTTTGAAGACCCTCTGATTCCTCTCCAACCAGATCTTCCTTAAAGTTGCGACTATAGCATTAAACCAAAGAATATGGCTTTAAATTTTGTGTTAACTAGGTGGAATATTCTAAATGATGAGGAAAGCCACTTTCTTTTCATTTGATATGCCTTCGGTGGAAACTGAATCTGGATTATTCTGCTGGTGCTTAACATATTTTATCATTTTTTTGCCCCCTTCTTGCAGATGAAGAAATACTTCCAGGAGCTTAGTACTCCAGTTGATGTGAAGTATATTGATCCGACATATATGATTCGTGCATGTCGTGCAAATGCTTCCGATGGGATCTTGTGCACTGTATTAGGGCAGAATGCAGTGAGTCCCCTTTCTCTCCCTTCCGAGGACAACATTAATAACTGCCATGTTTTCCATCAATGGTGGTTGTTATCTCATCAAAGCTTTTCCCCTCTTTATTTTCTTTTCTTTTCGCTGAGACTGGAACAATACTAATTATGAAAAAGGGATATACTGCAGACAACTTAAAATTAATGGAAATAAAAGAGGTATTAAGAAGCATAGAAACCAAATCCATGAACGGAAATGATATACATACATTATTATCTGTTGTAGCACTTTGTTGTTATTTGTTAGGTCTTACGATGAACGGTAGCTCCAATTCTAATATTAACTGTTGCCATTGACTCATTCCATTTTGCGTATTTTCTTTTCCACAAGATTTGCCTGCCTTTAACTAATTAGGACTACTTTCTTAGTGATAGGGATATTGTTGAAAAAAAAAATCTTAAAACTAGCCATATCCTTACTTTATCACTCTCTCCCTCAGACACACACATTACTGATTACTGGAGAGTAATATAGTTTCTCTAGTCTTCCAAGTCTTGTGGCAAGCTGGTTTTTGCCTGTTTTATGGCTTATTTAATTAGAAATGGTTAAAATACTTTCAATGGATTTTGAAAGGTAGTGGAAGGTGTGTTTCCCATTTTAGTGCCTTACTCACATTTCAGAACTTCTTTTTTCCTTACCCTTGTTTCTGATCTGGATTCTTGTAATTCTTTTTCGTGTGTTCACCACTTTTGCTCTGTCTGACTTTCCTTTTGACCTTTCATTATTTTTTCTTTCCCTATCATCCACAGTCCATCTATATCAGGAGTTTCTTGCTCTAATTCTTCCTTGGATGGGAATTATTGGATTTGTTACAGGTCCACGGCGCATTTGCTGGATACAGTGGCATCACAGTAGGAATCTGTAACACGCATTACGTCTACCTTCCCATCCCTGAAGTGATTTCGCATCCCAGAATATTGGACCCGAATAGCCGAATGTGGCACCGATGTCTAACTTCGACAGGTCAACCAGATTTTATCTAATCATTTTCATTTAATTTATGCAAGAGACTGAAGGAACAAAGGGTTCCAGAAAAATGAGGAGGGAGCGCACGCAGTTAGCTTCAGGTTTTTTTCTGTTTGCTTTTGTTAATTTAGGCCAATGCCTTCGGTAGAATAAATAACTCTGTGAGAAACTGTTAAGTGTATAGAGCATTAGTACTTGAGAAGATTCATCGATAATAAAGAAAACACGGAGGAGAAAAAAAACTAAATTCTCGCAGCATTGCTGCATAGTATTTGTTAATTGTATCTCAGAAACATTGGTCATTTAATTATTCTTGCAGAAAATGCAAATTATGAAGAGGGCTGATATATTTAATACAAAACATTTCCTAGGCAAGGGCCGATACGTCCATGATTATTTAAGTTTATTTTGATTGTGTAGAAGCATTATGATTGTTTGTTACAGAGAATTAGTTTATTTGGTGTCTGTGGTGTTTGATCATTGTGTTTTTTGCTTATAATTATTTACTGTTATTCTGTAATGCTCACTGCTGAACAAATAATGGAATATCCATAATGATGCTTCTGGGATATCTCTGCCCAAAACTTTGACCCATCCCTAGCCCTCTTCTAGCACACAGAAAACAACACCGCCACCACGTCCAGACAAACAAAGGCTCCCACTCATCCCTAGCCTACCACACAGAACAAAGCAAACCACAGACACACAGAGGAGAGAGAGAGAGGGGTGAAGTTTTGGGCTTTATGTGCAAGTATAGTTTAGTTTCCGTTCGTCGAGTAATTTGACAGGTTATTTACGACGATTTCAGGGCTAATTATAACATTTAAAATTAGAGGAATTAAAATTAAAATTTTTGTGATTTAATCTCACTTTTTAACATACTTTACATATTATTTTATATATTTTTAATTTTTTTAACTGCCTATGAATTTATGCAAACAAAACACCCTTGTTAAGTAAAACCAACTGTGCAACTAAATAGAATATGAGAATCATGTGACATGGTTTTTTTTTTTTTTTTTTTTTTTTTTGGTTTAATATAAACTATTTTAGAAAATACTCTAACAAAATTCAAGGACGGTTTTTGTTAAAATGCGGGATGTTAAAGGCTTGCATTTCTTCATCCAATTATGAAGAGGAATAAATTGTAAAATTTTAAATTATGTTTACTCCATTACTTATTTGTCATTAAATGATATATTGACTTATTTTACGAATCTTACACCTTTTTTAAATGTTGCTATTATTGTAATGAATAATAATATGGTAGTTTAAAATAATTTTTTTTACTATAATTATAAATTTTTTTTGTTAACGTAATTAGTAATAAGTAGCCCTTCATTAATCTAATTGGAATAGTGAAGTTAGAACACTTTGTTTTTTTCTTTTAGTTTATAATATAACTTACAACATCAAATTCATACTTCTCTCAACTTGAGTATATGTAAGTTGAGTAATACATATGTAAATTTTCGAACGGATGGAATTTATAAATATAAAATAATAAAAGAAAACCCCACTTATGCATAATAATAATAATAATGATACTTAACCAAGAACAATGAGTCAAATTTGCAGTAAATAAACATTGGAGTATGGTTGAAAATTTTGTAATTGAATTTGATGAACGTTGGGACTATATTTGGGTCTTTTTTTCTAATTAAATCTTTGTCTTAACATAAAACCCTAGCTCTTCAACGCCTTACACCTGCCAAGTGATGAGCTATATATGGCTCTCATCCTCCCATGGAGCCCTCCCTTCCTCTTCCAATGTATAAGAAGCACTCGTTCCTCTACCAACCCCATTTCATCTTCGATTTCACCCACCTCTTCACAGACTCCCCTCTCCCGCCATGGCGATGGAACTCTGTGCATGCCGCCCCATTTCCGACCTCCCCGTTTCTTCTCCCCTTCTTGCCAGAAACCAGCTGCTCCGTCCCAAGCACGCGCTTCCTCTCAAAATGCCTATAGCCTCGCGTCTTACTCGCGGCATCCACTTCCGTATGTTTTCAGTTCATTGCATTCTCACTCTGCTATCTAAAATGAATCTCTAGGTTTTCATTGTGGTGTTCTGTACTTTTTCTGTTGAATTTATGTGCGTTTTGTTTGTGGGTTTTATTTTGAATTGCTTTGCTTGCGTTGTTCTTTGTCGATTCTTATGGTATAACGATGAGCTGATTCTCGATTTCCTTTGGATGTACGTGGTTTTGAACTTTTTTGTTTTCTGAATTCTCTCTTAGGATATCGTCATTTTTCTGTTTCACTGCCGAGAGCAGCAGCCTCTGATGATTCATATGGATCTAGTCCATATATTACTGAAGAACGCGACAGCGCGGCAGTCTCGGAAGATTCTTCTCCTGCTTCTTCGGTCGCGGTGGAAGATTCTTCTCCTGCTTCTTCGGTCGCCGTGGAAGATGCTCCTCCTGCTTCGGTAGCCGTGGAAGATTCTCCTCCTGCTTCTTCAGTCGCCGAGGAGAACCTTCCCTCGGAGAATCTTTCATCTGACGAAATTGTGACACCTGAAGTGCCTAAAGAAGAACCAGTTGAGGACGCGCCCGTTGTAGCGGTGGAGGATTCTCTATCTGCATCTTCAGCTTCCGTGGGAGATTCTTCCTCTGCTGAGAATGTTGCGTACAACGAAACTTCGACAGATGAAGAACCCAAAGAAGAACCTAAAGAAAAACCAGTTGAGGTTGCGCAAGAATGGACGCTCGATTCATTGAATGATCTGAAAGTAAGAACTTTTATTGAAGCCATGCGATTTATTCTTTTGCAAGTTAATCGTGTTAACCCGTAAGTAAATGTCTTTTGCCGTCTCTTTCTTATCTCAACAAATGAGTGCAAAGCTATTGAGATACCCTTTTCAAATTTTTTGGATCACTTGGCTTTTGATTTTTCAAATTTTTTGGATTGCTTGCCTTTTGATTTATCTATCTATTTCTGCTTTCAATATCTTCCCATGGTCTGGACTATGGCTTGATTCCACTGTAAAATACCTTCTTCCTTGGGTAACTTGGACGATTTTTGTCTGTGTTAACTACTGAGAATTTGGAGTCCTCTTTTTTTTTTTTAATATTTTAATTTCGAGTGCTGTTGCCTTCTTTTTTCAAAAATTGGGTTTTGGTTTTTCCCTGCATGCGTATTTCTTTCATTTCTCGTATGACCTTTCGAAGTTAGTTGCAGTGATGATATCATCAAACTTGATAGTATATACAAATGCTACATGAAAGGTCGACAATTATGTCGACCTGAGCGGTTAATCGAGCAACCTGACTTCTCTAATTGTTTTTTTCTTGTTGTATTTCTTGCTTGTATTCAATTTTCTTTTAAAATTGTTCTTCTCTAACTTCTCTTATTATTTTGTTGTCCATCAAAGTTTCTGTGTCTTCAATCATAATGGGAAATTTGCTATTTCGAGATGGAAATCAGTATTTCTTATTGAAGTTTGAACTTTTATAGCTCTTGTCAATTAGGAAACACCATTTTGGAATAACTGATATTATAATGTATATGTTTTCATTTTTCGGTTTGAGATTGCTTCATCCTATGAAAGGTTTGATGGTTACTTTTGCTCACAGCTCGAGTCGGTCGATAAATACAGTCTTGCCCTGTATGGTGGTGGTGCCTTTTTTGGCCTCTGGTTGGTTTCAACCGTTGTTGGTGCTTTTGATTCCATCCCATTGGTGAGTAGTTCTCACTTTTATCTCTCTAAGATTTTGTATTGGATTAGAACTGAATGAGTAAATTGTAGGGTGTCATCAATTGGTAAAGTTTCTTAAGGCAAATTTAGAACCGTGCGTTCTTGTAAATCTATAGGTTCCCAAGTTGTTGGAAATTGTGGGGCTTGGTTACACAGTGTGGTTCGCGGCTCGCTTTCTGTTATTCAAGGTAATTGCCTTTTGAACTGAAATCCTGTTTTTCCTTCCTCCGAGTATGTGATAAATGAGCTAATAATTTTTTTTTGTTGTAACCTCACAGGAAAGTAGAGACGAATTGGCTGCCAAGATTGATGAGATAAAGGAGCAGGTTATTGGTTGAGATTGACGTCTCATTCGGTCTGTAAATTTTTACTGTTAAATCTTTAGGTAGATAGTTATGTTTGCATAGATAGATAGCTTGGATGTGCTGATGAACATAAATGATATAAATAATTACATTTTGTTTCTAATGAAGCACATATTACAACGATAGAATCTTGTTTTACATACGGGTATTATAAATAAGAACATAGGAACGTGAATTAGGAAAAAAAAATCTTTTGATATTTATAATAGTTATAAATTTTTTAAATATATCTCATCATATTTTCATAAAAGTAATGTGCTGTTATTATTATTATTCTTAGTTAATATATCCATTTATGGGAGTCAGAAAAATTGACCTTTGGACTTTTTCTGTTTTTAAGCTTTTACTTACTTTGGAACAAAGAACCAAGAATTTCTTTTCCTATTTCGTAACCAATTCAAGAAAACTGAGATTTGAAAAAAGAATAAGCATTTTCTTTCCCTACTTCATTAAAGCATTCTCTTAAAGTTTGTTGATAATCGTACTTAATTACATCACATCAATCATCAAATGTAAGATAATACGTTAATGTTCCTAAACGAAAGATTTTTATATCATTGTCCCATCTTATGGTAACAAAACCAAATTTCATACTCACTAGTTTAAACAGAAAACTCAGACACATAAATAACTTCGAACAACCAAGAAAACTTCCTATCATTTAAATACCCGCATCAAAATAGAGCATGACAAATGTTCCTACATTGACATTTTGACAATTGACTTAATTTTTAAACTCATTTAGTTTGTAAACATTAGCACGAAACTTTTAGAATGTGACTAATTGTAGCAGCCACGCTAAAATCAAAATGAGAATAACAAAACAGCGGATGGGAAAAACTTGCTAAAACAAAATTTGTAACATAAATTCAAAGAACAGACATGTCAGAACAATCTAAAATCAATAACCATAAACAATGTCTTCTTCCAACCTTTTCATTAAGACTCCTAAGCTGTAACTGCCGCCTGGCTTGCAAGCCTCTTCCTCGCCTCTTCGATGATGGATAACTTAATACCCTTGCCCTTAGGTAGGGATAACCATGGCTTAGTACCCTTGCCGATGGTAAAGACATTGCAAAGACGAGTGGCAAATTCGTGGCCAGTGGCATCCTGGACGTGGATGGTCTCAAAACTTCCCTTATGCTTCTCCCTGTTCTTAATTACTCCAACTCTTCCACGATTCCTTCCACCAGTAACCATCACAACATTACCCACATCAAACTTGATGAAATCAGCGATCTTGTTGGTCTCAAGGTCGAGCTTGATGGTGTCATTGGCCTTGATGAGAGGATCAGGGTACCGAATGGTACGACCATCATATGTGTTAAGATATGGAATGCCCTTCTGCCCGAACTGCACAGAACGGACTTTGCAGAGTTTGTACTGCATAAAGAAACATGAAAATCAATGTGAACAATCCAATATTTTCGTAGACCAATAATAACAATAATGTCCCTAAGTCGCTGAAGAGGATACCCATTTTCCTTCGTATAACCTCACATGATTTAAAGGAAAAATGCAACTACCTAGAACAGGTAAGCAGGAAAAGACAGAATGCATTTTTTTTTACAGGAAATGACAATCCAAACGGAGAAGTTCTAAAGCTTATTCACAGATTTGTGACAGCCACACATGATGTGATTTACTTGTTATCTGATCCCGAGAAGTCATGTTTAAGAAACAAAAAAATAGAAGATAAAGTTTGATATCAAATAAATAACTAACCTTTGCCTCCTCATCCCTCACAGAGTGAAGACGGAATCGACCTTTGGTGTCATAGAGGAGCCGGAAATTCTCATTTGTTTTGGGAATTGATACAACATCTACCAAGAAGGCATCACAAGGAAAAAAAGATAATTCAACTTTAGCATGGACAGAATAATATTCATATAAAACAAACATTACACACCAAGAAAAAAAATTAGAATGGCAACACAATCACAACAACGGATCGTATAATCAGATCAATATATTACTGACTATCTTCTTCAGAATTGGCAACACAAAATTAGAATGCACACCGCATGTTATCTAGACATATTGTTATTCACATCCACATTCTAATATCTATAGTAAAAACAGTTAGGTATGCTTATTTATAATAACGGGGCTAATCTAATCAAATAATAAAATTTAATATAGCCAACAAAATTTAATAAAGGCAGTACCAACTAACAATAAGGCTAAAACATTACACAATGTGGTCAAGCTAGGAAATTGAAGCATTCCTGAACCAGACCGTAGTTCATGGCCACTTGCCCCATTAACTTCAAACATGATCTCCGTTAATAAATACATCATCCCTAGTCTCATTCATCGACAGATAGATAATGACTTGTTTAAGATTGTCAAGACAAGTAATGCCTAAAATTATGCAACGAAGAATGGCACTTTCATTCAATTATTAAGATAAGAATTAAATTAAGAAGATAAAAGTTAAGCAGCATACCCATAAACCCAGCTGGGTATGTCTTATCAGTTCTCACTTTCCCATCAACAAGAACATGTCTTTGCATTAAGATTGAAATCACCTCACGATAAGTGAGAGCATACTTCAATCGGTTTCGTAGAATAAGGATCAATGGGAGGCATTCCCTTGATTTATGAGGTCCAGAGGAAGGTTTGGGGGCCTACATAAAAGATCCAATAAATGTCAAAAATAGGTACCATGTTGAGCAATAGCAAGATGTAAACTGAACTTGAACTATAATCTTGACTCACAAATGCACCACCAAGTTTGTCAAGCATCCAATGCTTCGGAGCATTGAGCCTCTTCAAATGCTTCTTCAATCCCCTTGCCTGTGGTAGAAATAGCCATTAATTCCAAAGGTAATATTATATATTCCCAAGGCCTAGCACCAAAATGCTAGACAGAAGAAAAGACACATAGATACAGATAGCATGAAGCCAAAACAAAGAGCAAGGAACATAGTAACTCTGATAAACATCATGCATAAAATCTCGAGCCATAAAATCTTTAAATTCATGTTATCAACATTACAAAATTAGTTGAGGTGTAACCTAGTTGGGATGTAGAACTAAACGAACATGTACACTAGTTGGGATGTAGAGCTAGTGCATTACTGCAGAACTAAACGTACTTTGTTGTTATTATTTCGCAGTTCAAAGTTTACAAAAGGTATCGCTTACAAAAACATGAATGCCCCAGGAATATATGCAGGCACCAGAAACATACAAACAATATATAACTTAGACGGATTCAACTCAACCAGATATACCAACCACAAACACAGACACGCCGAAATGTACATAAACCAACCAACGATGAATCTCATACGTCAGTGCCCAATAAATTTTCTCCAAAAACAAAATAAGAAGCGCATTTTCAGATCTCGATATGAGAAACGCAGATTCAAGACGAACTTATAACGGCAAACCTAATACTGATACAACAGGCTACAATTCAGCAATGATTTTAAAAAAAAATCAAACGGGAACAGAGAGAAAACTGCATTGAAGTTTGTCAACCCAGATTAACAAATATCAAATGCAAATTAGGAGGAAGAAGGTTCATAGAAACATCTCCTTACCATGGTTTCGAAACAAGGAAGGTCGCCTTTGTAGAAGGCCGAGTGAGTTTGCCGCCGCCTCTGAAACTCCTTGGGGAAGAGAATTGGTATTGCGTCGGTTTCACATTAAATAAGAGAAGGGCTTAGGGTTTTTACTCAATTTACCAAAATGCCCGTGCGTGGGTACCATTGCAGTGACGTAATTCCATTGGAAAAAAACAAAAAAAAAGGCCTTAATATATTAAATTATTGTATTTATAACTTTATAAACAAAATCAATTCAAATCAAACAAATTTAGCTATATAGTTATTTAAAAATGTAATGGATATATATTTTAGATATGATAAATTGTCAAAAGCGTCCGGTTTTTTCCAGTCATATTTATCATTTTAACCCAACAGTCATGTTTATCATTTAGATAAATGGATTGTATTTAGTATTAAATGTTTTCTTAATCCAGTTAAATTATAAATTTGGTCTCTATAATTAAGAAAAAATAAAATAAAATGTCATTCTATTGGTTGGTTGAAACATAACAAGATGTCTTTATTTTTAAAAGTCTCTAGCGATGTCCATGAGATGGAGGGAGATGAACACCCAAAGTTTGCTAAGATTTGGTTCCTTCTCCTTCTACCTATTTGGGCACAACCTCAACTACACAAGCTCTCCATG